TTTCTTTTATTTCCTCCCTTATTTTTTTTCCTGTTTATCCCCGTTTCCTCCGTTTAATGCAGCCCTGTTTTCACGCCTGGGACAGCAGGAGGGGTTCTGTCAGGGTGTTCTGGCTGTCCCAGCCCTCGGACCGTGAGAAGAGCGGCTCTGTGCGGGGCTGCCCGGCCTGCTGCTGCTCCTCTGCTCTCGGAATGTCTTTGTCAGCGTGTCAGGCTCCGAGCCGTGCGTCTGGGGCTGCGCTTGTTCACGTTAAATAGAAGCCCGTGTGCTTCGTGCTGCTGCCTTCCTCCTTTATGGGGTTTTCTGCGTGCCAGTGAACGCTGTATTACGGTGTTGATGGAGTCTCTCCCAGCAAACACTCCTAAAAGATCGGCCAGCAGCAAATATGAAGCAGCTTACGTGAAGGTTTTGAGAGAAACGTTCTCTGCTTCTCTGGCTGTTGTATTAATTCCTTTTGTTTTAATGTAAAGAAGTCCCAGGGAAAAATTCTTGTAGCTGTAACCCTTTTGGTGCTTCCAAGGAAATCGTTCTGGGTGACCTCCAAGCAAACTGCTGAGGACTCACAGGTGGGGCGGCCCTGCGGGGCTGGGCTGTGGCAGGAAGGTGAGCCAGGGACGTTCTTGCTCTGCTGTCCATCTTCTGCCCTTTGTGTAAATAGATTTGTGCATTGAGGCTGAGTGTAACGGCTTCTCAAAATACAGGCTTATATGAAAACTTGAGAAATTGTTGAGGAAACTGATACTGCTGTAAAAGAGCAAAGCGTGGAAAGGCCTTAGAGATGCTGGTGGGTTACTGGCAGGCAGGAGAACCTTTCTGTGTAAGGACAAAATATTTAGGAAAAGTCTACAGGTTGTAATGTGCTCTAGCTCAGTGCAGATGTGGCTTAGGTGGGTGCAGTATCACTGATTTCATGTAACCTCTGTCCAGGTATGCTAGCAGATGGCCTCGCTCAGCAGTCTGCTTATTTTTTGTCAATACGTGCTTCAGACTGCATCAGAAGCAGCAACAGACCTCATGACCTCAGTACAAAGATTCTCTCTTAGTGCAGAATTAGAGCATATTCACAATGTGACCCTCCAGCTTTCCTCTTTAGTTGGCAGCAGAAGGCTTTTAAATTGTAGAGTAAAGTTCTCTGGGCCTGAGGGAATATTTTGTGGTGTTTGGAAAGTGTGGCTAGGTTTGAAGGTATTTGAGCTGTGTGGAAATACAGTGACACTACTGTCTGCTGTAATCCTCTTTTATTGTGCACGGAGGCTTTTAGTAGAGCATGTCCAACTCAGAAGTGTTTATCCATCTTGGAAGTGGCCGTTTTTGAATGCTTCATCCTCATTCTGCTTTTGCCTTCGTTGAAGTTTTTGCTCCTTGGCTTTGTGCTGCTGGGTTCCGAGTTTGCGCTGTGAAGTATGCAGCAGGAAGAGGGAGAGGGAAATCCTGAGCATTAAGGGGGAACTGTGCTGGCTTCACCGCTGCTTGTGTAGAAATCACGTTTTCGGTCTGTGTGTACCTTTGTCATAGGGTTGTTCCAAAGTCCTTAAAATTGATAACTTAATTGGGGCACACTAACTAAATCGTGATTCCTGAGTCACTCCTTTGAGGTCACTTGTATTTTCGGTGGCAAAATGGGCTAAAGCTGATTATTTTGTAATGGAAGAAACCTTTGTACTCCTTGTTGCAAGGGAAACCCAGCTCAAAAAACCAATGTTTTGTTCACAAAGAGGAGGATTTGGAAAATCACTTGGCTTTCTTGCTAATAGCTAAAAATAGGCTCTTTCCCAGCCCTAAAGGGAGTGCTCAGCACTTGTGCAGTATTTGTATGTGTCATCATGGGGGTGTATGCACATATCTATCTATATATATATAAAAATCTGTGTGGCTGTGCACACATATATATTTCACTGAGGTAATATGCTTGTACAGTGTCCTGTGCACCATAGCCCCAGGTATGTGAAAACAGGGCATCAAAGAGCTAAGCTGCTTTTTCTGTCTGTAAGGTTGTTTTTGAAGCCTCTGGGCTTTCAGCTCCTGAACAAGGAACATCTTGTCTATTGGAAAGAGGAAGGAAGCCAATTGTCTGGTACTCCCAGGCTTTTAAAACGGAGGAGTTTTTGTGATAATCCTTTGAGGTTAATCTCTGTTGTACGTTGACAGGATTCATCTTCACGAAATAAAAGCACATTGTTCATAAAAGTCAGTCTCAGCAAGTTTGTGATGTGATTCTGGTGGTGCTTCGATGAATTTCTGTGGTGAGAATTGGTTTTCTCTTGACCTGTGCTGGAACTTTGCTTCAGGAACAGTGCAGCATTGTGTTACTGCGTGCTCGAGTTCTGCTGCCAAAAGTTGTTTGCTTTTCAAGACTTTAATTACGTGAAATGGAGTCATCAAAAAATGTATTGCCATCCTCTTGCTCCAGCATTTCGGAGTACACTGGCAAGCACAGGAGGGGTTTTTCAGTGTTATTCTCAAAAACTGTTTAAAGAAGCAGGGGCAGTGCAGAAAGTCCGAGTTCAAACTATGTGGACGCATGCCCGGATTCCTCATCCTGCCCTAAAACCACACGGTGTGAGTGGTTGTGTTCTTGTTTGCCAAACGTGAAATTTAGCTGTAGAGTTAGGGTTTAGACATGGTGACAATGACTGAGTTCTGTATTCCAGCAAAGCATCTGATGATAACCTGCCTGTGTGTAATGGCACCGATTGCGGCTCTGTGCAGCACTTTCCTCTGGAGCAAACAGCAAGGAACTGAAACTCGCCTCTTAACCTTTATTTCCTCATTTTTAAAACCAGTATGTACATAATTGGGAGACGACCTAAATTTAGCAAACCTAATTACTTTGGATTATGTATTAATATTTATTACCAAGCTGATGCCGTTAGAAGCTCTATTATCATTCACCAGCATTTGATGAAAAGCTCTCATACATTTTCTATACCAGAAGTCTTTATTCTCCTCCCCTGCACCTGTTAGCTCCTATTTCAGGGGTTAATTTGTCACTCCAAATGTGCACAGTTGCACTTCTGCAGTGTGACAGCAAGCTTTGTCCCTAAAAATGAAAGAAAGAATGTGAGAATGATAAAGGCTGGAAAAAGAAAGAATGAAAGGCTGGAAAAACACCAGAGAAACCTTAAAGGAAAGCGTGGATGTCTGCCATCTATAAAGCAGTCAAAATGGAACAGTTTGATAGTTTGTTTGGGTGGGGTTTTTTTGTTTTATTTGTAGCTCCTTAAGAGACTTCTTTTTGAAACTATCAGTTGGTGATGGGCACTCTTTAAGCATCTGAGGATTAGAAGGGCTGCACAAGCCCTGCATTTGGCTTTGTTAACCTTCCTGTGCTGCAGTTTGGTCTCAGGGTGCTCCACTCCATCCATCTGCCCTGTTTCCCCATTCAGGATTCATGGGGAGACCTCAACAGTAAAAAGAAAAAAAAAAAAAGTAGTACCATCATCCTGTCTCGTTATGTCTCATGATTCTGACTGGTATTTTTCATCTATTTGAAGATCAAGATTTCCTGCTTGCTGAAGTGTTCATGACCTCAAAGTCTTGTTAGCAATTCCGCTGGTTGTGTGCTGTTTGCTTGCTGCTTCCGTTGGGCAGGTGAACATTTGATGCAGTGCAGCAATTCTCTTTATCAATTTTTTTTGTCACACAACAGGTCTGACAGCAAAATAACTCAGGTTGGATTTATTCCTTGCCTCTCTGGTTGCAGCTGTTGTCCTGGGCTCGTGAAAGCCATGAAGCGATGCGGAGGGCATACGTTGTGCTCCACTGGTGATCTCAATGGCTGATCATGCTGCACTGCTCCTTTGATGCTGATGATATTTCATAGCTGTGTGTTTGTTGGGTTTTGAGTCGGTCCACTCTTTGAAAGTTTTTCTTTAGGGCTTTTTAAGTATTTGCTTTTCAGATTCCTTGAATTTATTCTCAAGTGTGGCGGAACATTTGCAGGAAAGATTATTAAACTGAATTCTCATCCGTGCCAGATATGATTCTGTTTTTTTTTTAAATTGTGATTGTATTCGAGTTGCATTGGTTTGTTCTATTTGTTATGAACAGAATTTTGTCCCTCCACAAACTTCAAACTTCTTGCCATGAGGTGAAACATTCAAACGTCCCATACAAATGAATGAGTCTTCACCTTTGCTTTGGAAATAAGTTGTTCTTTGGTTTGCCTTGTGATTGAAGGCTTGCTGCTTCTCACAGTTTTAAGCAAGATTCTATGCAAGTGTCTCATCTGTTCAACGGTCCATTTTTTTTTTAGAAAAGAAATGTGAGACAGAGTCTAATGCTGGAAGTGAGGACACCTGATCATGACGTGTGAATCCTGTTTTTGATCAACTTCTGCAGAAAAGTGTGCCCTTCTTAGCAGCTTGTGGAAAGCTTTGAGTCACTAAGTCTTGTGTAATTTCACGAAAACTAATATGTCAACTTTTC